AAATTTCATTATTAGTCAGTGACACACTTTTCAGTGGCAGTTTTTTTTTGAAGGGGGGTGGAGATAAGTGTTAATGAATTGTATGTAGGTTATGCTGTACAAGCCTCGAGATTAATAGACTGAACACATCGAATCCAGTCAGAGGGACTGATTACCTCAAACTCCTCCTCATCGTCTCTGCATTTGACCGAAGAAGCCACGTGTCTCATTCTTCAACACTTAGAATGCTCATTCGATGCATTATCTACATTATATCACATGAACATTATCCAGTATATGACTTTGCTTGAATGACATAGATGCTTTTCACCCATTGTTTATTTTCCGTTTTCCCCTTAAATATTTCATTATCTCTTCCTGTAAGGCAGTGTACAGGTGAACGACCTTTCAGCGCTGACGACCACAACGACAAAACAATGACGAGAATTAGCTGAATGGAAAAAACTGCTGATCATGACTCACGAAATCGTAATGACACGATTGCAAACAAACCATACCCCGGCCGGGATTGAACCCGCGGTCAGAGAGTCTCAAAACTCCAGACCGTCGCGTTAGCCACTAGACCAGCTAGCCACAATAAGATTCATCCAACTAGGTATATTTCTACACCATAGAAAGGTTAGCACAGGCACCACTGTGACCACAAATGCAAGTTTTTACAGACGAATCTCCAGCTAGCGTGGCCGTGACGAACTCTAGCTCAAGTCCCCTCACTGCCGTCAACATGACTCACGAAATCGTAATGACACGATTGCAAACAAACCATACCCCGGCCGGGATTGAACCAGCGGTCAGAGAGTCTCAAAACTCCAGACCGTCGCGTTAGCCACTAGACCAGCTAGTGAGTCATGTTGACGGCAGTGAGGGGACTTGAGCTAGAGTTCGTCACGGCCACGCTTGCTGGAGATTCGTCTGTAAAAACTTGCATTTGTGGTCACAGTGGTGCCTGTGCTAACCTTCCTATGGTGTAGAAATATACCTAGTTGGATGAATCTTATTGTGGCTAGCTGGTCTAGTGGCTAACGCGACGGTCTGGAGTTTTGAGACTCTCTGACCGCGGGTTCAGTCCCGGCCGGGGTATGGTCTGCTGATCATCCTCGTAGCAAATAATTTGCGTAGTTCTGACAATAGATTTCAATAGATAAATAAGTGTGAACGGTACGTTACTATCGTTACTGCTGTTGTCATGAAAACCTCTTACAGGTGAATATAGAACCTGTATGGCAAGGACAAATAGGCCTACCGCAATGTATTTTCAATATGTTCTTACAGTATATCCACAAGTTCACGCAGGTATGCAAATGCACTCGCAGTCACGCATTTTGCAAAGAAATTGTCGGGATGGTTGAGCGCGATCAGCAGAGTCCCGCAAGGACCCATACTGTCCCTGGAGCATGTAAACAATTAACCAAGAGAGACTGACTTGTACATGACAGTTCCTGACCTGGCTGCCCACTAAACACAACGAATATACTAAAGTTGGCAAGGAGTTTTGGATATCTTGAGAGTACCTGGGAGTAAACATTAGTACATGGAAGTGAATGGGAGTACATGAGAGTACATAGGCAGAGAACGGAAGATTCTATGGATCATTTCAAGACTGTGTAGGACTGACTGTCAACTGTCTAGACTCTAGACAGGGACAGAATAATATAAGAGACAGCCACAGAGTCAGACGCTAAATTTTGTATATTCTAGCAAAAAAAAAACTGACTTTCATCTTTATTTTTAGATATTTTATGATTTTTCTTTTGTATGAAAGAGATATAATCCCTAATTCGGTAGTAGAAAGCAACGAAACAAATATGAACCATCTTCAGTACTCGGTATTTTATTTTGTGCATCCTTCCCATATTTGAATTTATGGAATAGGAGCCGCGGGTGAGCAGGTGTCCAGCAGCAGTGCCACGGGTGAGCAGGTGTCCAGCAGCAGTGCCACGAGTGAGCAGGTGTCCAGCAGCAGTGCCACGGGAGAGCAGGTGTTCAGCAGCAGTGCCACGGGTGAGCAGGTGTCCAGCAGCAGTGCCACGAGTGAGCAGGTGTCCAGCAGCAGTGCCACGGGAGAGCAGGTGTTCAGCAGCAGTGCCACGGGTGAGCAGGTGTCCAGCAGCAGTGCCACGGGTGAGCAGGTGTCCAGCAGCAATGCCACGAGTGGACAAGTCACATGGGGATGGAAATCTTTAGCTCTAGATCTTTCGCATTCTAGTGCGTCGGCAGGAGCTATGCAATGTTGCAAGACAGCAATAAGTAGGAGGGAAAATTCTCTGAGGCAAGGCAGAATATATCAGTGGCAGCCCATATCAGAGTAAGAGAGCCACCACCGACCCACATACCTTCCTCCTCCGTCCCCTCGCACCCTCGCAAGAGGCACGAGAGTGCGAAACATCTGGAGCTAAAGCTTTCCATTCCTATGTGGCTTGTTCTGCATATATATATATATATATATATATATATATTTTCAACACTTTCAACACACCGGCCGTATCCCACCGAGGCGGGGTGGCCCAAAAGGAAAAACGAAAGTTTCTCCTTTTACATTTAGTAATATATACAGGAGAAGAGGTTACTAGCCCCTTGCTCCCGGCATTTTAGTTGCCTCTTACAACACGCATGGCTTACGGAGGAAGAATTCTGTTCCACTTCCCCATGGAGATAGGAGGAAATAAACAAGAATAAGAACTAGAAAGAAAATAGAAGAAAACCCAGAGGGGTGTGTATATATGTGCTTGTACATGTATGTGTAGTGTGACCTAAGTGTAAGTAGAAGTAGCAAGACGTACCTGAAATCTTGCATGTTCATGAGACAGAAAAAAGGACACCAGCAATCCTACCATCATGTAAAACAATTACAGGCTTTCGTTTTACACTCACTTGGCAGGACGGTAGTACCTCCCTGGGCGGTTGCTGTCTACCAACCTACTACCTATATATATATATATATATATATATATATATATATATATATATATATATATATATATATATATATATATATATATATATATATATATAATATATATTATATATATATATAATATATTATATATATATATTATATATTATATATATATATATATATATATATATATTATTTATTTAATATATTATTATATATATTATTATATGGGTTTTCTAGGTTCCTGTCACATATGTTGCTATTATAATAATCTATGTAACTGTATTTGTGTGTACCTGAATAAACTTACTTAACTTTTAGAGGTCAGTCTTGATATAGCAGTCTCTCACCTTAGGAAACCAACGTTTTCTCTTTAATAAACTTCTGTGAGGATGGGAATCTATTAGTGGGATTCTCAACTATTTATTTTTTACCAGTAGTGACAGCTACTGGGGCTATTTAAAAAAAAAAAACTCCATTTTAGACATATATCAAATAAAAAAGCTTGCCTTCTAGGCGTCAACGTCTTTCTGGACACACTCTTTAACCGTACATAACTTAAAATATCCATAAATAATATACAAAAAGTATTTCCAATAGAAGTTGCTTTATTTCCGCTATGTTTCTGTCGGCGGTTTATGTATCATGTGTCAGGGTTCCTATGTTATAATGCACTTGATCGATCCTCATTGTGGTTAATTTGGCAACATCTGCAGCCTTCTTCCCTTGTATACCAGTGTGTTATGGCACGCAGGTCGGTGTAGCGCTCCTTCCCTGAGTTTACCTGGAGTTTACCTGGAGAGAGTTCCGGGGGTCAACGCCCCCGCGGCCCGGTCTGTGACCAGGCCTCCTGGTGGATCAGAGCCTGATCAACCAGGCTGTTACTGCTGGCTGCACGCAAACCAACGTACGAGCCACAGCCCGGCTGGTCAGGAACCGACTTTAGGTGTTTGTCCAGTGCCAGCTTGAAGACTGCCAGGGGTCTGTTGGTAATCCCCCTTATGTATGCTGGGAGGCAGTTGAACAGTCTCGGGCCCCTGACACTTATTGTATGGCCTCTTAACGTGCTAGTGACACCCCTGCTTTTCATTGGGGGGATGTTGCATCGTCTGCCAAGTCTTTTGCTTTCGTAGTGAGTGATTTTCGTGTGCAAGTTCGGTACTAGTCCCTCTAGGATTTTCCAGGTGTATATAATCATGTATCTCTCCCGCCTGCGTTCCAGGGAATACAGTTTTAGGAACCTCAAGCGCTCCCAGTAATTGAGGTGTTTTATATTTGTATTATTAATCCTGGAGTGTTAATAAGAGACGATGACCCAAGACAAGCAAGTTATCCACGTCTCGGTTGGCAACGCTCTCGCCTCACACTTTGTCTGTGGTTCAATCTCCAGCACGGGTGGAAACATGTTTTCTTGTACCTACTGTCCCTGTTCACCAAGCAGTAAGTAGTTACCTGGGTGTTAGTCGACTGATATGGGTCGCATCCTGGGGGACACAAGATTGAAGGACCACAATGGCTAACCCACTGAGTTAAAAATCCATACAAATCTTGTCTTACCAATGGACTTAGGACTCTAATAACTAAGTTACAATGATTGGTTTCTCGGGTTATCCTGGGTTAATAATCCACCCGGTTAATAATCTGCATAAAATCCTCCTCAACCTGAGTTCAGCTTCCGGGAGAGTCGAAACATACGGGTAAATACACGCAATGGTCTCCATCACTACTCCCACAGTGCGTGTGCTGCCTCAGCTGTGGCGACTCCAGATCATTTAACAAGCAAACAACCAATCAGAAATTTACATTCCTTTCATCCATTCAATAATCGACTCTAAATGCTTTCCTTGCTGTCCTGCATTATGAGTATTTGTTTGCGAGCGTTCCACTCATTGGTAGACAGAATATTAAATCGATGCCATATGTTTACCTTAACATTTTGAGCGACCTATAAAATTTCCCGAGGAAGACGCATGCGTGAGGTACACTTGTAGTATATATTTACATTACTCTGGCTTGCGAATGCAACACCAGACTCATCTCAACTTCTCTCTCAAAAACACTCACTGCGTTATGTACAAAAGTTAACTGATGCTTGGATTTTGCGATGAAGTTCACTATATTGATAAGTGTGTTGCTGGTGACTAACCAGAGCTTGGGATTTCTGAAAGCGATTTCGACCGTCTCGCTATGTTCAAAGGTGTTGCAGGAGGTACTGAGTGGCCCTCTGGCAGGCTGCAACATAGTCTTGTATCTCGATCTTGGAGACGACATGTTAGTCGCTGACCAGTTATTGGCCCAACCAACCCTCCAGGATATTCCTCACGTCCTAGTTAATCTGGATAATAACGGGACCGTTTGGTCCAAAAACCAGAATGCGGCGGTGCTTCGAGGAATAGGATTTATCCACGTTGTTTTGTTCAGGAAAAATCCCCGTCCATTTTTTGAGGCCGTATCGCCTCAATGGAATCCTAAATATGTGATGCTTTTTAGTTTGTTTCAAGGTATATCTAAAAATATTATAAATCAATCATTTCACAGAGTAGAAAAGCTGGTGTTGTTTAATAAGGCTTCTCCAAGGTTTCCTAATACAACAGGTCTTTATACATTCTTTCCCTTTTCCAAAACCAATAAGCTGAAGTTCATAGGAAATTGGAATTCCACCTCTAATGTCACAATGGCAAGTGTCTTTATTGACCGTTTTCCGTCATTCGAAGGTTACCAATTTCATATTGCAACATGGAATGACGACTCTCCGTTTCTGTACCAGAAGAATAATGCCCCAAAGGGAAAAGGTGACGGTGTTGTGGTCTGCATGTTAGACGCCATCGCTGAAATGCTCAACTTCCGTTACACGATGACGACGAAGCCTCAAGACTGCATGTGGGGCTCCTTTGTGAACGGTTCCTGGAACGGCATCCTCGGAATGGTTCACCGCAAAGAAAAGAATTTCACAGTGAACACTATGTTAGTCACTGAAGCTCGCGGAAAGGACTTTGACTTCGGTGTCTGGTACTGGATGGAAGGGTTCGGCGTTATGTTGATGAACCCGGCACCGCTGGCCAAGTGGAGAGGAATATATTATTCTTTCCAACCTTCTCTCTGGTTCGCTGTCATTCTTACAGCCGTCTCAGTAATTGTGATCATGACCCTGCAGGTAAGATGGGGGTAAATTCACGCACACACTGTTGTAAAGGAAATGTGAATAAGACTGTTTTCAATGAAATTCACTCACAATTTTAGCTCATTGTCACTTTCCCACAAAAATGGGGGTGATACAGAGAAGACATATTTAAAATTGCTTGCCCTCTTGTCTTTCTAAAAAGAACACACATATTACAGTCTACTGCTGGACTGCCTAAGTGCCTCATATCCTCAAAACTTGCAGAGTGCAGACACTGTACTTCACAACTGCCAACACTCAAATTCAGCTAGTTGGTTTCCCCCAAGTCCCCTAAGACAAATTATCTTACGAGTACTTCAACAGCACATCAAATATCATAGAACATCTGCCTCCCGTCACTCATATCTAACAAAATCACACGTCTGAATATTAAAGCCCCTACCTATTAGTACTTCCATCCCGTCCAGATTAATGCACCTCTTCAAGTGTGTGCTGTCCTACCCTGGTATTTTTTCTACTAGTTCAAACCATCTCAAAAAATACCTTTCCATTGTTTGAATTAAAAATTTCATGCTACCACACTGTCTCAGAAATTCTCTATTCCGTAATATTTATATTATTTAGCATTTATTTGATTAATATTATTTGTTCCTTAGTTTTTAGCAAGTTATTTATTCTTTAGTCTTTATAATATTTACACCACACATACGGGTTTACCGTTTGTTTTCGAATATATTATAATATACCACAAATTGATCCCAGACATAAGATCCGCACAGCCTCTAGGTTCCTCTTCACTGCAACATATGAAGGTTGATGCCTCACTCATACACAAGCGTATCACTATTTTGTGCATTATCTATGGATAAACTTCTTTCCTTGATCAGATTCCTTATTCCCTGAGCTCTGAAGCTTCTTATTGTCTGCTTAGGACCGGATACAGCCTGAACCGCTGCTGGGTGGACTGGGAGGTACGTGGATGTACATGCTACGGACTCTGGTCAACCAGGAGCTCACGGTCCTGCCCAGGGCGCAGTGGCAGCGACTGTTCTTAGCCTCGTGGCTCTTCTACTGTTTCATCCTCACTACAGCCTACATCGCCAACCTCATCGCCTTCGTCACCACTCCTGTGTTCCCCGAGCGCCTCCACACCCTCCATCAGCTGGCCCACTCCAACTACAGGTAAAATTCTCTTTGTTAATTTATTCATCGAGAAAAAAAAATTTAACTCGAGTCTTGACGATCTGTTCACTGGTGCCGGCCCTATCTAGGGGATGAGGTAAAGCAATGACTCGTAGCTCAGTGGTAGAGCGTTCGGACCACAGCTGAGGGGACCCGGGATCAATCCTGGCCAAGACAAGACGCAGGGAAAATATTTCGTTACACTTACTGCTTATGCTCACGGAGAAGTTAATCGACACCTGATAATAAAGCAATTGTTGTGGATCGCATCCTGGAGGCGAGGACTTAGTTGATTGAGGGTGGCCCGAGGACCCCAATGGAAATTAGCAAAAAAAGAAGGGAAAGGGTCGTCCCATAAACGGTTGGAAGGAAGGGGTAAAAGAAGCTTAGAGTTTTAGAGGCTTCAGCATCCAGCAGGCTTGTGTGAGCGTGTTACATAGGAGTAAATGGAGAAAAGTGGATTATATGACTTGACGTGATGTTGGAGTGTAAGCAAGGAAACATTTATAAAGGGACTCAAGGAAACTGGTGAGCTGGACTGAGTCCTGAAGGTGGGAGGTACAGTGCCTGCACTCTGAAGGAGGGGTGGGGATGTTTTAGTTCGGAGCGCCATCTGAACGGTGATGTCAACTCACAAGGCAGCAAGTGAATAAATTGTATAATCAAACCACTCTATTCAAATGGGAAAATAGTTATAGGTTGCATAGCTTATCCAAATTGCTCAGGATTCTTCATCAGGTCATAATAAGAATATCAGAAAAAAATGTGAGGGTCTTAGTTGTAAGCAGTGGATTCTAAGACCCTCTCATTTTTTCCCTTTGTAGCACTAACTAATAATGGTATATAAATTTAAAATTTTATCTCCACGAAGTGAAATGCTATTTTCTGTAGTGCAATAACTTGCATATTGAATAGACTGTCAGAAGCATTATTGAACATACATTTAGGAAATGGTTGGATAAACATTTTTTCTTCAATAGAGCCACTCACAATGCACTGTATGTACAACCATGAGCTGTCCGTTAACGAAAAGCCTCGTATAAACCCAATGAAGTGTGTTATTTGAATTTGCATTTATTTCCATGGTTGTATCCACTTGGTTAATGGCCTTAGGAAGGCTTTCTGTTCAACCGATGTTTACTTATTTACACTTGCTTCATATACAAAGTAACTTATATCACCTTTTCCCATTTAGTGGCCGGAATCGTATCACACTATTGACAGAAGAAAAATTGCCGAGATATAGACTGCGTTATTAGGTTTTAAAGCCTATCGACTACACGAGGGTCATGAAACCTAACTGTAACCTGTTCCCCACCAGTTAAGGATACTTTTATCCCTTTTATAGGTATTTTACTCTCATCGTACATACACTGACGGACATAAACTGATCGTGCGGCAATTTGATGTCTTTATTGTCGAGACTTTTCGCCTGCTCAGTAGGCTATTTCATTCGAAATTCATAAACAGCAACACAGAGATATGTAGATATGAAGTGGTTAGTCCTGCTGAGTCGGCGAAACACAATAATTTAAGATATCAAACTGTTACACGTGTATTCATCTACTTGTAGGATTGTATATAATGATATACCTTAGTATGTATAACCTGTCCCATGTAAAAAAAAACTCACCAATAGAGAACGTTAATAACTAAAACATTTAAACAAATATTTTTATTGCCTTCATAAACAATATTTATATTCTCATGACGCTTAGTGTGTGTTAGTTAATAGAAAATATTAATATTTCTTAGTACAGTTGATGTGAAAATTACCAAAACTGGATAATTACGTTGGTTTTAATTGTTGATATTACAAATGCTCTTAACACAGATTTAGACCCAGTATTAGTAAATCATGTCACATGGCTCATGACGCTATGTGATACAGCGCAGTTTTTTTTTATTTAGACTCGAAGTATCAGTGGTTATAACTCGTATATCAATCCGTCAAAACTTTTATCATACAGTTCTTCATTGAATTCATTTGCGAATATTTTTCTCGTGTATCTTGCTTTGCTAACAGTTCTACGTCTCCCTTCAAGAGGGCCACTATTACAACCCAGGAGTCCAAATGGCCTGTTATCCTGGGTGTAAAGGGAGCAAAATAAACACAGCAGAAAACTTTTGACTTATATTATCCTTCACCAGTTTAGAACAGAAGTATGTACACTATATACACTATGTACAGCAATAGGTATTAGTGCACTCCACGGTAAGCAAGGCAGAATAGAAGCCACTAGAGAGCAGACCGTGCTTCAACCAGCTCTAGAATGGGAATGACAAGGGCAGACAGGAGAGTGGTACCCACATAACCTCTGCGATTGCCAAAACCATCTGGGTACTGGTTGAACGACGGGGCCCCATCGTCTACCCTCAGTCACCTGGTTCGCTGGTTGGGGGAGATAGCCTGTAAATGAGGGTGTGTACATGCGCCGAATGAAGGTTACGTACTCTTTGTATGCCACAGCCACATTGATGCTGGCGAAGGGTCCTTCATCCATTCCCTAGGGCCTAGGGAATGTGTTGTCTCCACGAATGTACATTTTAATAGTATTAGTTTTATAACCCTCCTCAGGTTAGCCATGGTGAACTACGGTGATTTCGTGCCGGAGGCTCTGCGCTCTTCCAAGTCGGACGAGTACACCAGGCTGTGGAGAAAGCTAGACCTGTGCCAGGAGTACAACGAGGTGCTGGCGCTCATGACCCAGCAGACACACGCCTTTGTCGAACTCTACTCCTACAGCAAGGTCCTCCTCAAGACCAAGTACCAGGTAAGACACGAAAGTTGTGCGCCGAACACTTCATGACGTATTGCTCATGCAGGAGCTTTATCAACAGTGTCATATCTGAGAATTGTAGTTATTATTACGCTTATTTTCAGTATATTTATTATTACCGTACATTATTATTATATTCACGCTGAATGATCCTTAAGAATTCCTAAGGGATCATACAGATGCTGTATGATCCCTTAGGAATCATACAGCGCCTGTGGAATGAGATTCAGTCAAATTTTATCTCTGGAAAGGTAACATAGTATATTTTAAAGCTATAGACAATATATGCACTGTGAACAACTATCAACTATTTACATGATTAATTACCTACCAGCAGTCGCCCAAAATACCCAAAACTCACCACAAGTAGGTGGCTGCTTCTCGAGTTCCCTTATCTGAGAAGTAATATACATCTATCTATTGTTTACATTCTTAGTAGAAAACCTTATCAAGCTGTAAGAACGTTTGCGGAAGATATACCTCTTTACGTAACCTAAATAAAACGTTAATGTAAATGGCGTGTTGCAGACTATACATGGAGTCCCGTAAGTCTGGAACTATAAGATCATTAATTAATTAATGTATGGCGCGTAGAGGGCCTGTGGAATGGCCGGCAATGAGCCCCGACGTCATTTCGATGCATCTATGGTGTCCCTTAAAGACATTGTTCTATCCGGAGAAAATGCAGAGCGCACTATCAATGCATGTAACATCACTCCTAATATCATTCACCGTGTACGTGTACTTGTTCATTGGATATATCGTCTGCCTTCGCGTGTCAGTAATAATGGTGAATTAAAGTCTTTATTCCTAACCTCTTTGATTTTCCCCTATGGTTCCAGACTTACGGGAGACAGTGCTGTAAAGACACTTCGCAGAACAAGCTTTCACCGGGATAACCTTTCGATGTGTCGATCGTGTGACTTGATAAAAATCAACATAAATCAAACGCTCTCCTGATAACAGCTTATTCTTGAATATATCATTTCTTCTCTCAAGCGTATCAGGTAATTTTCCAGTTTGATGTTTCCATGTTTCCAGTTGAATCATACATATATGATGAAGGAGCAGCTGTATCCAAGCTACTTCGCCTGGCTGTACCCGAAGAACACTGCCTGGAGGTACAAGTTTGACCAGGGAGTTCGGCACCTGGTGGAGGCTGGCCTAGTGTCTCACTGGTACAAGGTGGTTACCTTTCACGTATGCCGTGTGTGATTACTAATTTGTATTACATACTTTTGATCACAGTTCGGAGGGTTCATTTGAACAGCGATACCTCCACACTCCTGGCAAGGCAGCAGTTGAATGAACGACTGTGAATGAGTTTCCTTTATTAGCTTACCTTGACTCGGTGGCGATGGGAGGCTAACCGGTCTATGGTTAAATCATTATTGTTAATTAGAAGTTTTTATATACATTTACAATTGTTTTACGAAAAATAATTCTGCAGATTTAGAAGGCAAGGAGATTTAGGAGTAGGATAGCAGATTTAAGGACAGCAGACTTAGCAGCAAGCTAGCAGATTTAGGAGCATGATAGCAAATTTAGCAGAAATAGAGCAGATTTAGCAGTTGGCTAGCAGTTTATGAGCAGGATAGCGGATTTTGGCACAGACCAGCACATTTAAATTTTTAGGCGTCATCTAAAGATTTTTCTCCAATATGTGACCTAGCTATGAACTTGATCCACACTTTTTTGAAAGATAAAGTTTGTTCACTCTCTCCGCCAGGAAAAGATAGAGGAGTTACTGGGTCGAGACAGAGAGAAACGGGAGCGTGTGGAAGCCAGGCAGCAACGCAAGAAGAAAGGACCTCTTAACCTGCATCATCTGGAGGGTGTCTTCTTCATCCTGGTGATCAGCTGGGCAGCAAGTGCTGTGGTGCTGCTGCTGGAGCTGCTGTTTCACTCTAGTCTTACTTCTACAGCCTCGTCTTCACTGGCTCGCATTCTGATGATCTAGTTTCTGTTGGTGTGGTGTTATTCTTTGAGTTACCGCACCTTGGGTTCTTATTTTTTTTACAATGTAGGAATTACAGGCTAAGAGCTGTTATCCTACCTCAGCTCGCTACAAGTATAATAGAATACATTACCACCATCAAAAACTATATAAGATAAAGTGGAGGATAGTATCTGGCAGCAGGGAGAAACATCATCTGTCAACTGTGTCATTGCAGTCTCGTCTTGGGTGAAACGTTGTGCATTAAAGTTTTCTCTGCACATTATCTCTCATTCTTCTATATAACGACTGTGTTGTTTCCAGCATCACACTCGTTATAGAAGGTGGAGGACGATTAAGGAGAGTGTGTGGTGGCAGCCATTCGTTCCATAACGCTATAACGACGGGTCCTCCCTGGCTTCACCAGTGCTGAGTCAACCTCACTAACATAACACCCGTTCGTCTTACACTCTGCTCTGCTTCCTCCCTTGATGTTTATTTTTATTTTGCCTCTGAAGTGGCTAGTTTAATGTGCACTCTATATACATCCAGTGGATGGTAAAACAACAGTATATGGATACTCAAAAACCTTAGGCGTTAATTGGACCTGAAAAGTTTATCAGTGCCTACGCTGACATTTTTTAATCATAATATGCTTCTAGAGACTGATTAATACATTACAAAAACGCCTGCGTTATTTTTCGTTGTGGATAAACTGCTTATCGGATATGGTAATCATCGGTGGATGATTAGGCCTAGGGCCTGAGTGTTACCGTACATGATGACAGTCAGGAAGCATATACTGGTAATTGCATTGTCAGCGGCCATGTTGACCTTCTTTGGTGAGTAGACCTGTATATATCTTGTGTATTACGTGTGTGTGTGTGTGTGTGTGTGTGTAGGGAATGAGACGTACTCATGTTTGATCCAATGAAGGGTATATCTCCAATTATCTGGATCAAGAGCCCTTCACCAGCGCCATGGTTCTCCCTCCCCCATTCCCTTCCACCTTGAATGCCTAGCCAATATAACCCAGCAAGTAGCAGTGTACTGGGTGATGTTGACAGGCATAACTACAGTAGCAGTGTACTGGGTAATTATAGCTACAGTAGCAATGTACTGGTTGATGATAACTACAGTAGCAATGTACTGGGTGATGATAACTACAGTAGTAGTGTACTGGGTACCCCTCAAGGGAGGTTCCTTGACGTTGGTGAGGGGCTCTTGATCTAGGGAATTGGATCTGTGCTCCGGTTCCCTGAATTGAACCTGAATGCCTTCCGTCCCCCCACATGCGCTGTATAATCCTACGGGTTTGGCGCTCCCCATGATTATAATTAATTATAGTGTACTGGGTAATGATAACTACAGTAACTGTTGTTCTCAGCGGGTGAGAACGTAACGCAGGCACCTTCCGGAAGTCGATCCTCTTACGGTACACCTTGTGAGCACGGAAGCTTCGCACGTACTCACGTGCACACACACACACATGAGGGGTGAGGAAGAGGAGGATATTGATAACGTTTAAGACTGACTGGAAACAAATGACTGTGGTGTTATTACTCGGATTAAGGTCCTTAGACTGTGTGTGTGTGTGTGTGAGTGTGTACTCACCTATTTGTACTCACCTATTTGTGGTTGCCGGGGTCGAGTCACAGCTCCTGGCCCCGCCTCTTCGCTGATTGCTACTAGGTCCTCTCTCTCCCTGCCCCATAAGCTTTATCATACCTCGCCTTAAAACTATGTATGGTTCCTGCCTCCACTACATCACTTTCTAGGCTATTCCATGGCCTGACTACTCTGTGACTGAAGAAATACTTCCTAACATCCCTTTGATTCATCTGAGTCTTCAACTTCCAATTGTGACCTCTTGTGTCTGTGTCCCATCTCTGGAACATCCCGTCTTTGTCCACCTCGTCTATTCCGCGCAGTATTTTATATGTCGTTATCATGTCTCCCTGACCCTCCTGTCCTCCAGTGTCGTCAGGCCGATTTCCCTCAACCTTTCTTCATAGGACAATCCCGTAGCTCTGGGACTAGTCTTGTTGCAAACCTTTGCACTTTCTCTAATTTCTTGACGTGCTTGACTAGGTGTGGATTCCAAACTGGTGCTGCATACTCCAGTATGGGCCTGACGTAGATGGTATACAGAGTCTTAAACGAATCCTTATTGAGGTATCGGAACGCTATCCGTAGGTTTGCCAGGCGCCCGTATGCTGCAGCAGTTATCTGATTGATGTGCGCCTCAGGAAATATGCTCGGTGTTATACTCACCCCCAGATCTTTTTCCTTGAGTGAGGTTTGCAGTCTTTGGCCATCTAAACTATATTGTGTCTGCGGTCTTCTTTGCCCTTCCCCAATCTTCATGACTTTGCATTTGGCAGGGTTAAATTCAAGGAGCCAGTTGCTGGACCAGGCTTGTAGCCTGTCCAGGTCTCTTTGTAGTCCTGCCTGATCCTCTCCGATTTGATTTCTTCTCATTAACTTCACATCATCTGCAAACAAGGACACTTCTGAGTCTATCCCTTCCGTTATGTCGTTCACATATACCAAGAACAGCACAGGTCCTAGGACTGACCCCTGTGGAACCCCGCTTGTCACAGCGCCCACTCTGACACCTCGTCGCGTACCATGACTCGTTGTTGCCTCCCTGTCAGATATTCTCTGATCCATTGTAGTGCCTTTCCTGTTATGTGTGCCTGGTCCTCTAGCTTTTGCAGTAACCTCTTGTGAGGAACTGTGTCGAAGGCCTTCTTGCAGTCCAAAAATATGCAGTCGATAAACACCCTCTCTCTCTTGTCTTACTTCTGTCACCTTGTCATAAAACTCTAGTAGGTTTGTGACACAGGATTTTCCTTCCCTGAAACCGTGCTGGTTGTCAATTATAAACTTGTTTCTTTCCAGGTGCCCCACCACTCTCCTCCTGATGATCTTCTCCATGACTTGCATACTATACACGTTAGTGATACAGGTCTGTAGTTTAGTGCCTCATGTCTGTCTCCCTTTTTAAAAAATTGGGACTACATTTGCCATTTTCCATACCTCAGGGAGTTCCCCAGTTTCAAATGATGTGTTGAAGATCTTTGTTAATGGCTACACAATATCTCTGCTCCCTCTTTAAGGACCCATGGAGAGATGTTGTCTGGTCCCACCGCCTTTGAGGTGTCAAGTTCGCATAGCAGCTTCTTCACTCCTCCTTGGTTATATGTACTCATCCAGCACTTGCTGGCGTGCCCCCCTGTTCTGATTTCTTGGAGTCCTACTGGTTTCCACTGTAAATACCTCTTTAAAGCTTGTGTTGAGCTCCTGACAAACCTCTCGGTCGTTTCTTGTGAATTCCCCATCACCCTTCCTCAGTCTGATTACCTGGTCCTTGACTGTTTGTTTTCCTCCTGATGTGGCTGTACAACAGCTTTGGGTCAGTCTTTACTTTTGATGCTATGTCATTTTCATATTGTCTCTGAGCCTCCCTTCTTATCTGTGCATATTCGTTTCTGGCTCTTCGGCTGATTTCTTTATTTTCCTGAGTTCTCTGTCTTCTGTACCTTTTCCATTCTCTAGTACACCTAGTTTTTGCCTCCCTACACACCTTTGGGTGAACCAAGGACTCGTTATGTTCTTCCCATTATTTCTGTTTCCCTTGGGAACAAACCTCTCTCTCTGCCTCCTTGCATTTGTTGCTACATAGTCCATCATTTCTTGTACTGGTTTTCCTGTCAGTTCCCTCTCCCACTGAATGTCTTGAAGGAAGTTCCTCATGCCTGAGTAGTTCCCCCTTTTGTAGTTTGGTTTTTCCAGCCTATTCCTGCTATTCTCTCCACTTGGAGCTCAACTGTGTAGTCGAAGCACAGAACCACATGATCACTAGCTCCCAGGGGCCTTTCATACATGATACCCTCGATGTCCGAACTACTCATGGTGAATACAAGGTCCAACCTTGCTGGTTCATCCTCTCCTCTCTCTCTGGTAGTGTCTCTAACATGTTGATGCATGTGTGTGTGTGTGTGCGCGCGCGCGCGCTCACCTATATGTGGTTGCAGGGGTCAGTTCACAGTGCCTGGCCCAGCCCTATCTCATCACACTAAACTAAGATTATACAACAATAATAAAAATGATTACCAGTAATTCACGTTTATATTTTTATCTGTTGTAGAATATCAAGTAGGTCTGTCACTCCAGATTTTATTACATAGTGATAAAAAGCCTCAGGGATATTTTCAGCTTCATGCAATCGTGAATTTTGTTGGTAATATAATAAATTAATACATAAAGATAAATCAGTGTTGAGGTATGTGACAAATTAACATGTTTCGATAATTGTTGTTTTTGTTGCTTTTCAGTGGTAGTTAACAACGAAAGTTTGCTGAAGTCAACAGAGGGACTCAGAGTGCTAGATCAAGTCTCATCGCTGAGCCATGACCGAGACTCAAGACCCAACACTAGCCAGCTAATCTTAGAGAAAGGGGATGTGCAAAAATCTATCCATGACACCGCGTCTATAGTGAAGGTATCTGAAAATTTGTTACATAGTCACACTAATTACGTTGAAACACAAGACGAGGTAAAATACGAAACCTCCGTTAGACAAGTTATGAATGTTCTTGAAAATAAAGCATTCGAAAGTGCAAGAAATTTTATTACAGAACTGATAGGCTCGATAGAAGAAAGAAATGCCAATTTAAAGCCACAAAGTAAGGAAAATGAGTTTAAAAATAAAACGCAAGTTTCAGTAAATCGCAATAGTGTAAGTGAGAACAGAAACACCTCGCCCAATATAAGGGTAACACAAGGATCATTGAAAATAAGGAACACTTCCCTAGGGGTAGAGAGGGCCAGAGAGGCGTGCCCAGGCAGCCCCAAGAGACTCGAGTTGGGCCCAACTATCACCTCGCCAGATGTCACCGTCGCTAGTACATACAGTCCAGTGAACCCATGGCTTCAATCTCATGTGAGTGTGGGTATTATTGTGCTTGTGTGTTTGACAAATGTATGTACACCATGTGGGCACCGGGTGTACATCGTGTGTACACCTCAGCTAGCCCCAACAATAGCTGCTTGCCTTCTGCATTTTCTCCTGACTTTTTTTTTATGAAACATTCTTGGAAATTGCGAAAAGCTTTTACCAACCATATCCACATTTCTGGAAAGTGTTTTTGATATTCAGTTGTCACGAGATTTGTTTTCACAGAATTCTCTGTGAATTTTAAGGTATTTGCCCTGTTTTACGGGACTACAGGAGATGCCGGTGGTAGGTGAGTTGAAGGAGCCAGTACTAGTGTTGGAGGCTGGGGCGAGGGTGAGGTACAATATCACCTGGCACGGCTACACCACCCCAGTCCTCACCTTCGTGATCTTGGGTCGCCTGGGCAACACGATGGGCGTCTACGCCAGCCTCTGGGCCGTCGCTAGGATCTACGATGTGAGTCGTAATCTTTTTACTTTTGTAGTGCTCTAGCATCTATAGGCTTGTAGTCTACTGACATCTACGACGTGAGTCCTCATCTTTATTCTTGTAGTCCACTGGCGTCTACGGCTTGAGTCCTCATCTAAACTCTTGCATCTTGCCGTTCACTAGCATCTACGGTGTGAATCCTCATCTGTACTCTTGTCTTCCACTAGCATATGCAACGTGAGTCAACTTGTAGTCAGTTGCACTGTAAGGTACAGTGGAAGAAAGTATATCTGTCCTCTCCGCACACTGTACATTATCTTTCCTCTCTTGGAGCTTCTACTCGAATTTGCTACATATATAGGCAAGCTAAAATGAATCATGACCACTACCGTAGCTGCTCTAGTTAGTTTAATATGTTTATTATGCACCCCATACCCATCCTGTGGGCGTTAGTTTAGTTTAATATGTTTATTATGCACCCCATACCCATCCTGTGGGCGTTAGTTTAGTTTAATATGTTTATTATGCACCCCATACCCATCCTGTGGGCGGTAGTCAAAAGATTACAGAGGTACATAATTGGTCCAGGCACTGGACCCCAAAGTTTTGATAGCTGAGCAAGTTACAGAGGTAATGAACTCACAATTTTAAAAGCTGTGGGCGGTAGTCAAAAGATTACAGAGGTACATAATTGGTCCAGGGACTGGACCCCAAAGTTTTGATAGCTGAGCAAGTTACAGAGGTAATGAACTCATAATTTACAAAGGTAATGAACTCACAATTTACAAAGGTAATGAACTCCAGGTAGGTCTAGTCACAATTATGACAAGTTACAAAGGTATTTACAGATTACAGAGGTACGTAATGGGTCCAGGGACTGGGCTCCAAAGTTTGATAGCTGAACTAGGTACAAAGGTAATGAACTCACAAGTTACAAAGGTAATGAATCCTGTAAGAATGGTTACTTACGTTTATACATGGCTACAATCATGAACAAATTCCAGAGTAATGAGCAATTCACACTTCCACACCCGGTCACAACTGTAATGAGTTATTGGTGCAAATGTTGATTGTTGAGTCACACACACACACACACACACACACACACACACACACACACACACACACACACACACACACACACACACACACACACACACACACACACACACACGCACGCACACACAAACTCGTACACACACACACACACACACACAAACACACACACACACACACACACACACCCCCACCACACCAAACTCACACACACACACACACACCCACACACACACACAACACACCACACCACAACACACACCTCAACACTACACACACACACACTACACTACACACACACCACCTACACACACCTACACACACCTACACACACCCAACACACACACACACACCACACACACACACACACACACACACACACACACACACACGTACTCATATACACAGGCCTAGTGTCTAATCAACATGTGCCTAGGACAAAATGGTAACTAACACACACCTACACACACACACACTACACTCAAACACACACACACACACACACACACGCACACACACACACACACACGTACTCATATACAACAGGCCTAGTGTCTAATCAACATGTGCCTAGGACAAAATGGTAACTAACACACACACACACACACACACACACACACACACACACACACACACACACACACACACACACACACCACACACACACACTACACACACACAACACACACACACACACACACACACACACACACACACACACACACACACACACACACACACACGGCAGGAGCTAGACTCGACCTGCAACCACAAATAGGTGAGTACATACACATACACACACACAAACACAGCTGCTCTTACATCTCTAACTTTCTTACGGAGCGCTCTGTGTGCAGCACAATTTTACTTTTCACTGCAGTAGTTTGTGATAATTTCTCTCACGTATTTTGAAGTGATTCTTTGCTGTAAGTGGATATGAACACAAAAATAAAAATTGTTAACTACTTCAACTGCCACATTCCAGACACAAGTTTTCATGGAGAAAGAAGTTGAGAAACTGCTGAAGCCGATGTTCCCTCACCTCACCATGTCTCCTCTCCCAGGTGAGAGAGAATGAAACCTTAAATTCTTCACTGTTATTGGCAGATTCTCCCTTCCCCTCCGCTGTTACATAGCAATAAAACAAATACAAGTGGCAGACATAATAATTACTCAGGTATAAGTCCCGCACCAGTTATATATCACTCTTCCAGAGATAGTGTGGTCCCATCAAAGTGTAGTAATCACTTGTCAACACAAGGAAAACACTACATGCAGAGAAAAACACAAAGACAAGATAAGATCTGTTTATTTTGTCCTTATGAATTATATCTCCTCTTCATCCCTCTGGACAGTGAGGATGGTGGGAGGTACATGGCTGTACGTGGGGAGGGGATCGCCCTGTCTGGCTGATTATACTTCACTGCAGGAGGCAGCTGCTGGTCTGAGAGGAGCCAGAGCTATTGTCGTGGACGGTGAGTTGGTGGTAGTTGGTTATGGTGTGGGGGTAAATGGTGGTAGTGCCTATGAAAGAGTGGAGTGGTGATGATAGCTAATGGTGATAGCGATGGAGATAGATAATGATGATGGTGGTGGTGATAGCTGGTGATGGTGACAGTTGAGGATTGTCGCGGTGACAGCTAGTGATTGTAGCAGTGACAGTTAGTGACTGTCGAGATGACAGCTGTGGTGGAGCTGAACGAAAGAAAATAAGTAAAAAAAGAATTAGTCAAGCATAGTACTGTACAAGGAGAAAATTTTAAAACGTGAATTTTAATAACAAAAGTTACACCAAAATAATTCTTGCCTCTGATGTGAGTATTGCAAGTGTTGCCTCGTGTTTCAGACTACCCCTTCGAGATGCAGATCTTCAACGCTTTTAGGGATGACCTCCTGATGGAGTTTACTTTCAGCCACCAGCTGCAGCAAGAGGTGAGAGCACAAACTTTTCAAAGTGTATCCCTCAATGTATACACACAGAGAGTTTACCTTAATCTCTGGGATTCAGTTTCTCTTGACTTGTAGCGTACAGGTGATTCACAGCTTTAATGACCATTGTGTAGTCGATAGGTTTTAAACTAACAAATCAGTCGTGCATCAAGTGAGGCAAGGAGCTCTGGGAGGGTTTGTCTCGCTATTCATAGTCATTTGAAGAAACGACATAGTCTACAGAGCCATCTTTTACTGTGACGACGTGTCGCCTTATTTAGAGTCTTTATCAAGCTCTAAGAGACTTTCTATTAGTGTATGACCCTAGAAAGGCAAACTTGCACGTGAAACTTGTATATTTAGGTTTGGTAAATTAGGCACTTATACAACACTTGGGTATCTTTAATGAGGAAACGTTTCGCCACACAGTGGCTTCATCAGTCCATACAAAGGAGAATGTTGAAGAACAGGAGGAGTTTGAGGTAATCACTCCCTCAGCCTTGAGTTGATGTGGTTAGTCCATCAATCTTGAAAACAATACCTTTTCAATATTGATGGACTGACCACATCGACTCAAGGCTGAGGGACTGATTACCTCAAACTCCTGTTCTTCACTATTCTCCTTTGTATAGACTGATGAAATCACTGTGTGGCAAACGTTTCCTCATTAAAGATAGCCAAGTGTTGCATAAGTGTCTAATTTATCAACTTGTCGGTTTTCTGAACCATTCATCTACATATTAGGTTTAATTAACACTAGAGAGATATACTTCTAGAAATAGTTTTCAACCGTTATACCGGGGTTTACTGTACCCAGTGACGGACACATTGTGTACTCGTTCTCATCAGAATTTAATGTTGATAATGAGGAATACATAAAGTAATTATGGAAGTGAATGTGAAGTTTATTATAATTTTATTTCACGACCCGCACCCGTGAACACCTCAGTCGAGTTAATAAGTTAAATTAGCCATTAAGACCTTGCAAATTGTCCGTAACATAATACGGAAATCAATATTTTTTTGTTTTTTGGGGGGATGTATAATGCCAGCCTTCTCTTGTTTTTTTTAAAATGATATAAAAACTTGCCTTCTATCCGACTAACCCGCGTGGGGAAAGACATTTCTGTTTCCTGGTAAACACAGTAGCGTCAACGGGAAACTCAGGTACTCGGTGAGTTTACATACAGGTACTTCCTACAGGCTCAGGACTTCCTGCGACGTGTCACCGCCGTCACACACACAGGGGCACCGCCCACTAATTTCGTCGGGGTGCACGTCCGTCGCACCGACTATCCGACTACCCTGGAGGTGAGTCTGGAGATATACAGAGATACAAGTTCAAGTTAGAGCAAGAGAAATATATTATTATTATTATAATCAAGGGGGAAGCGCTAAACCCGGAGGATTATACAGCGCCTGGGGGGGGGGGATGTGGAAGGCATTCAGGCTTAATTCGGGGAACTGGAGCACAGATCCAATTCCCTAAATCAAGAGCCCCTCACCAACATCAAGGAACCTTCCTTGAGGGGCCAAGAGAAATATAGAAATGGTGATTGTGGCAGAGAGATAAGGATATATATATATATATATATATATATATATATATATATATATATATATATATATATATATATATATATATATATATTATATATATATATATATATATATATATATATATATTATTAGAAATGTATCGGATATCCACTTCCGTATCCGCGGAACATCCGCACAATTTCTTACATCCGCATCAGCATTTTACTGTAAACAGATATCCACATTGCATCCGCATCCGCAAAATAAGTAAGACATCCTCATAAACATCCGCATCCGCGGATATCTAAATTTTCACATCCGTATATATATATATTATATATATATATATATATATATATATATATATATATATATATATATATAATATATATATATATATATATATATATATTATATATATATAGTATCGTAAGAATAATTTTTTATCAAGGGAGAATGTGTGCTATTGTCTAAGGACCTTCCTGACTACAATTATTTCCTGCCACAACTTCCAATAAAACAACACCTGTCCTTCCTTCCCTTCCTCATTAAATTATAGGAACACCTGTTTCTTTACTAAGGCGACGTCTGTCCATCCTTCCCTCAGTCAGTCAGTATTTATTTCTCCTTACCTCAGTGAAGTAACATCTTTCTTTCCTCCCCTCCCTCACTGAAGTAAACATTATCCTCCTCTCCTTCACTGAGACAAACATTATCCTCCACTCTCTTACTGAAGCAAATATTCTCTCCCTTCCCTTATTGAAGCAGCACTTGCTGGTGTCTTCTACAGAAACTTTTCAAAATCAGTCCTCCTGGACTAGACTACCTCAGACGAGCTCTCACATTCTACCGTCAACGCCTGCCACGTGTGACCTTCGTAGTGGCTTCTGATGACCAAGACTATGTGATGGATGCCCTCGGCCAGGAGCTAGACGTCGTCTTCACTCAAGGTAACTCCAGCTACTCTTCCCCTTTCCTCGGATCAAACTTCATTGTCTTCCACTCCCCAACACTGTGTGACTCCTCCCCAGCCCTTGTTGAGTACAATAATGTTTATTTCCATGTGAATTTCAACAACCTCTGTAATTGAGGTTTAGTCCACCGTCCACTCATGTTACTGTTACATGCTCTTGCCTTGTCATATGAAGGGGGAGGGGTAATGAATCCGAATAATAATAATGGGGGTAAGGCGGAATAAGGGAGTAAAGGGAGTGGGAGGAGAGGTGAGTCGAGTGACAGGAGGTGAGGTAATGTGAGGTCAGTGATGACTACATCACTTCTCATTAACTCTACACTACTCACCCTCTCAGTACTTGAAATAAAATAATAAAATAAGAATAAGAAATAATGGGGACAGTGAATATTACTATTCTCTTCAAACAGTTTATTATTAAGTCCTTGTGCAATAATATATTTGGGAACAGGAGAACACTGTTGGGTTTAGATAAATGGGGATTGTACATAAGCAGTGAGACAAGGGTTACAATTTAAATGACGAAACAGAATATTTACTTCAATAAGTTCAGAGGGACAGTTCACCTCAGGAGCTCAGACTCTAGCCACAAATCCCAAGACCTCCACAGAACGTGCACTGTTCCAAGCCAGTACCTTGCCCAGTGTTTTTAAATATTACATACACACGAGTGTTTAGCGTTCCACATAAATATAATAATGGGAAGAAATCTAGAAGTGAGTGTACCTAAATTTATTTTTAAGGACATCCGACAGAACATTTGCTGATATACGTGTACATGGTGCAGTGTTTGTTCTCTTTGCGAGAGACTTGTGGTTACCCCAGAAGTTTCCACAAATCCATTGGAAACTCTGCCATGTTTTCATATGTGAGACACTGGAACTTTCTTCAAGTCCTTCATCCTGCAAAACGAGTCACTTACGTTGCAGCAATGTTATTTGCCTCACAACATATGTTATTTTTGCACTTTCGAACATGACTGTGAATTGATTTATTTAAATTACCTGATATCCCCTGCACGAGTCTTACAGTGACATAGGATGACTTCTTCTTCAGGTTTTCCACCTGAACTTGACCTGGCAGTGCTGGTGGCGTGTAATCACACAATCATCACCATGGGAAGCTTCGGCTTCTGGGCAGGATACCTCGCTGGAGGCGCCGTCGTCTACCCGGACCTCCAGCCCAAGATGAACGAGTACTCCTTCTCCCGGATCTTCTACGAGAGGGCCAACCTCACCCAGTTCATTCCCCTTCCTCCCTGAGACGCGTTAGTGGAACTACATTTCCTTATTCAGCTCTCCAGGGCTCATATTCTTGTTGAGTGTTCTGTATGTGTAATATGCACATTAGTATGTGTGAAGGCTTTCTACGTTAAGTAGTTCATATTTTTCAATTGTGGTGCGGTACTGTCTGCAATCAGATTGAGTAATTCTTCTAATGGCAGTTGGTTTTAGATGACTTGTTATTTAAGATCCTGGTAATGATTGGTTTTAGATGACTTGTTATTTAAGATCCTGGTAATGATTGGTTTTAGATGACTTGTTATTTAAGATCCTGGTAATGATTGGTTTTAGAGGACTTGTTATTTAAGATCCTGGTAATGATTGGTTTTAGATGACTTGTTATTTAAGATCCTGGTAATGATTGGTTTTAGAGGACTTGTTATTTAAGATCCTGGTAATGATTGGTTTTAGAGGACTTGTTATTTAAGATCCTGGTAATGATTGGTTTTAGAGGACTTGTTATTTAAGATCCTGGTAATGATTGGTTTTAGAGGACTTGTTATTTAAGATCCTGGTAATGATTGGTTTTAGAGGACTTGTTATTTAAGATCCTGGTAATGATTGGTTTTAGAGGACTTGTTATTTAAGATCCCCATGTCCATATACTGTACCATAGGTGAAGTAAGGGTAAATTAAAGAATAGTACCGAGTGAATATTGTTGTATGCGTATTCTGGAAAGTATGGATGAAACGATACAAATGACTAAGTTCCTAGGACTGAAACGAGTCCAGTAAAGGTGTTCTAAGCATATGCCTTTCGATCATACTGTTGGTATTGTTATATCTGGGACTTTCATCGGAAAGAATGCTCACTGTTCAGGAAACTAAAGTTGAGGTGTGTTGCATCTAGTTACTAAATTTAATTTTTTCTGTCAAAGTGAATACCCAGTAAGTTTCCTTCATGTTGTCCTTCAGTGCGCATATATCTTTGTTTAATTGTACATATTTAGCTTTGTTTTTCAATATTACGCACTACGTCTTTATCAATATCGTTGATTTATTATTCTCCATCTTTTTCTTATAGTATAGTTCGAAGACAAAGTCACTTTCTGACTTTTATTCTTCGAGATCGGGAAGGTCAGGAAGCGAAGTGGCTCGTGGCTCGAATGGTATAGAGCCTTCGGCTCACAACTGAAGGACCCGGGCTTGAACCGAGGACGAGTGGAAATGTTAGGCATGTTCCGTACGCTTGTTGTTCCTGTTGACCTAACAGTAAGAAGATATCTGGGTGCTAGCATAGTATATAGGGTCACATCCTGAGGAAAATGATCAATTGTCCCCCAGAGGAAATAAGCCACAGTGATTGGCTTTCCTGGATTACTAACACACCGGGAAAATAAAAAGGCACATAATAGCATGGAATCTTGTTTAATACAACGTTTCGCCCAAGGCGAAACAAACGAATACATTGTTTTATCAGGGAAATGAGTCCCATGAAGGCTTTATTCACACTTGGCGGCTTATGCCACGCTTACTTAATAACCCACACTGAGTTAATTAAGCCAGTAAAATCTTTTAGAAATGTCAAAATAGAGAGAGTAGTATACGTATTTACATACCTCGCATTTTATGCTGAATTTCTGTATGATTTTTGAAGGTAAACTGTCCTATTACACCAGCTGTGTTTCTTTTTAAGGTAAACTGTCCTATTACACCAGCTGTGTTTCTTTTTAATGTAAACTGTCCTATTACACCAGCTGTGTTTCTTCTGAAGGTAAACTGACCTATTACACCAGCTGTGTTTCTTTTTAAGGTAAACTGACCTATTACACCAGCTGTTTCTTTTGAAGGTAAACTGACCTATTACACCAGCTGTGTTTCTTTTTAAGGTAAACTGTCCTATTACACCAGCTGTGTTTCTTTTGAAGGTAAACTGACCTATTACACCAGCTGTGTTTCTTTTTAAGGTAAACTGTCCTATTACACCAGCTGTTTCTTTTGAAGGTAAACTGACCTATTACACCAGCTGTGTTTCTTTTTAAGGTAAACTGTCCTATTACACCAGCTGTGTTTCTTTTGAAGGTAAACTGACCTATTACACCAGCTGTGTTTCTTTTTAAGGTAAACTGACCTATTACACCAGCTGTGTTTCTTTTGAAGGTAAACTGACCTATTACACCAGCTGTGTTTCTTTTGAAGGTAAACTGACCTATTACACCAACTGTGTTTCTTTTTAAGGTAAACTGTCATATTACACCAGCTGTGTTTCTTTTTAAGATAAACTGTCATATTACACCAGCTGTGTTTCTTTTGAAGGTAAACTGACCTATTACACCAGCTGTGTTTCTTTTGAAGGTAAACTGACCTATTACACCAGCTGTGTTTCTTTTGAAGGTAAACTGACCTATTACATCAGCTGTGTTTCTTTTTAAGGTAAACTGTCATATTACACCAGCTGTGTGCTTGCCCTGACCCTCACCACCTGTGACCGCCCCTACTGGTTGGTAGTGACAAGCTGAGTGAGACGGAGGATCGAGCCTCCACAAGCCTTACTCTAAGTGACCCACACAGGTTTAACGCTTCACATTCGTAAACCACATGTTCTTTTGCAAGAAGGAACATTTCTGAGAGAAAGTTTTCCAATCATGTGATGAACAGTAGTTTCTCAACTGATTCAAGGAAGTCCTGATTAAAGTCGTCTGTGCTAGCAGCACCAGATACGGTTGCCAACAGCCTGAGTGATCAGAAACAGAACCGTTATTAGTAAACGAAGGGTCGAGCCTCCACCCCTCCCTCCGATGAACCATCCACAGGGTTTTAGCGCTTCATAGAAACACGATGATGTAAGTAGCAGCCTCAGCTACGGGTGGCGACGTTGTCGAGGAATTTCTTTAAGACAAGTTCGACCCAGAAGCGGTAGGGTTGGACGAGGGTGTAGGCCACGGGGACGGTGGAGCGAGCGTTGGCGAACCCTCCAACACCCACTACACGAACTCTGCCTGTCTGCTCCTCCTCCACCAGCAGCACAGACTTGCCCACCTGCAACACAGTACATGTCAGTCACCACACTCACTTCATATACCTGTGACCCCCCTCCATTATCAACAACACAGACTTCCCCCCCCCCCCCGGCAACAGTGATATGGGACAGTTATTATTATGTTAAGAGCTAAGCCCATCTGGGTCATTTGAGCTCAACAAGTGGTGGCTCGATCCTCTGACCATTACACGTCAAGGGAAAGTAATACTTAACAGTATTCACCTACTGTAAAATGAAAGACATTTGTTGCAGAACAAATCTCAGTTATGAACAATTTTTTGCTCTATGTAGATCTTTTTCAAGTGACATTAATAAAGCTTGACATAACACTGCTGGTGAGAGGCAGCAGCCTTGACTAGTACAGTCGGTTGGCTTTAAGCATAAGAACATTAGAAAGGAGGAACACTGCAGCAGACCTACTGGCCTAACCAGAAAATGATTGCTGTGTATTTCGGTCTCACACTGAAGAGGCCCTCTTCAGTGTGTGTGTGTGTGTGTACTCACCTAATTGTGGTTGTGTGTGTGCGCGTATATGTATTATAAAATATTTCATGCAGAAGCTATCCTAATCTTCCTTGGATCAAACTTGGTTACTTTTCACTCTCCAACCACTGTATAAACTACGAACTTGGCGCTCTAGGATTGTAAAAATAATAAATAATACTACTACTAATAGTAATAATAATATAATAAAGAATATAGTCATATAAAAATGTGTACTACACCATGTAAATCACTGGTACCGTTTCAAAGCTGATGTAGACACAGAGGTGTTTATCAGTGAGTAGTGTGTGTAACATGGACGAGAAGTCAGGGTCGACACGGGTTCTGTAGAAGCAGGGAGCGGCGCCCTCTGCCCCTACCATCGATGCCTGGTACCTTCTCGCTGTACGACCTTCTGGAACTAAATAAGAATAAAAATAAAAATAACTAGACGTGTTTCGATCGCTGCACCTCATCATAAGACCTGACTAGTATCACCACTTTGCAAACACAGCGTCTTCCTGGAACACGTAAGTAACTGCGTGTATTTCTACTACTTCTTCAAACACAATGGCCACAGCCCCGCCTCTCTGATGTACTAACATTAAGTGTAGACTTACGATCGACGATGTTGTTGAAGCCAGCGACGGTGACGAAGTAGGAAGCCTCCGTGTCCTGTTCCTCGAAGACTCCAGGGAGACACACAGGTTGGATGTGGTCTGGTGAAAACCAAGTAAGGTTATGCTACATGAACTGCAAGTTGTTATATTGCACAATAAGAAAACTATATGTATATATTTTTTTTATCTGTCTTTTGTCCGTTGATACGAGTGATTGTTTGTATTATAGGAATAAACCGTCTGTCTGTAAACTGATAAAATTTCATAATGCTACCACTACTTCCATTACTGTAACTGTTACTGTCAATTTCAGTAGCACCCAATCATCGTCATTTACTATACACAGGAGCGTAGGGTACCACAGACAAGGATGTACTGTCTAACATAACTGAAAGGTGACCACTACTCACCACCAAAGACGAATGGTTGGGCTAACTCGAGGAGGCCGATGTTAATGCCGGAGAAGAGGTCATCTTTGGACTCGATATCTGGATGAATCCGGCGTCCGGCCACGTAGTTCTCCACAGCGTCCGGGTCAGGTATCACTCCCGACGCGCTGGCTTGAACCACATTGCTGCCGACCGTAAAACCCCTTACTTGTATAGTCTTTAGCACCTTACTGAGGCTACTGGCACTGTGTGTGTGTGTGATTACACTGCATATTTGTATAAAGATAAAAAAAAAAAAGAATCCTCGAGGTATCCCCATCTTTCTAATTATTATTATTTTCATCAGGTCAATTTATGTAACGGGTTGTTGTATTTGAAGAAATGTATTAGCTGTTATTTCAGTGTTATCAAACAACTCCAACATGTAAACACACAACGCATGAAAGTCTTTAACTGACACGAATGTGAAATCAATTTTGATAGCTGTTAGTTTGTTAGGTTTAATGTCTGTCAACTGCTCGAGGGTCATTAAGGCTGCACTTCACTTGTATACTACAAGTTAGGAATATTTTAATCACTATAATAAGGGTATATGTACTGAGATGAATACCCCTCGATATATATATATGTCGTGTCGAGTATGTAAAACTTGCGATCTTGGCTTAAATAGCAACGCTCATCTTGCCATATAAGACAAGCGAAAATTTGTGTATGCAATAATTTCGCCAAAATCATTCTGAACCTAACGAAAAAATATATTTCATTGTGTTTCTTTAGTATTAAATTATTGTAAACGTATCTAAAATATATCTAATTGGATTAGGCTAAATTAAATTACGCTTGTTATAATAAGGTTAGATAAGTTTTCTAAGATTCTTTTGGTGCAAAATTATAAATGTTTTACATTAACATTAATGAAAAAATATATCTTTAAACATATAAGAGAAAATTTTAGAAAGGACTTACTTTTAAATGAGTTCTTGCTAATTGACCAGTTTTACTATTAGGCACGACATTAAATTATATATATATATATAATATATATATATATATATATATAATATATTAATATATAATGATTGCAGAGAATATTTTCTCAACTGATATATATATATATATATATATATATATATATATATATATATATATATATATATATATATATATATATATATATATATATATATATCAGTTGAGAAAATATTCTCTGCAGATCATATACAATTATACAGTAACGGTCCAATATGAAAAAAAATGCTTTACAGCTAATGGGAATAATTGTAACAGTTAAGTAAAGGAACGGTTTTTAATTACAGGTGCGGAAGCAAAATTTACAGGAAATATTTTACTTAGAGAGCTATATGTCCAATATGTGCTCAAAGCCTTTTTTATAACGCAGTAAGAATAGTTTTACGTATGGGATAAGTAGGTATGCCTTATGTAAGAAAAATGTTGCACTCACATGTGGGGAGATGCGACACAGTCAGCGTCAGTGAGGACGTGAAAGTTGGTGATGATGACACCTGTGCAGCGGTAGTGGAACCTGCCGTTCTCTCGAGACCCAAGAGCTACCACCCAGGGGAGCTGCCCGCTCTCCAGCGCTGCGGTGGTGTTCAGTGGGTTCTGGGGGCAGGGTTAGGCAAATAAGACACACAGTGGTGGACGTTTCGTCAACCAGGGACTTTATCAGTTGATAAAGTCCCTAGTGGGCGAAACGGCTTCACAATAAAATTACATAACCTGCATTATGGGTCTCATTTACATACTGTGGGTAAACTCCACCATTGTTATTACTCTGCGAGATACATAGAGGCGCTGTGATAGTAACGCTGACACACCACACACGGAACCGACACTATTCAAACATACCTAAATATTATCACTGTTTCTACACGTATGTGTCATTTATACAAAGTTCAAGATAATCTGTTGGTTCGTGTCTACTTTCAGACCTTCATCTCTCATCAACGTTCCCTAGTCGATTTCTGTGCCTTTTTTGAGACGCATGATCCACAAGTTTATCGCTTCGCAATGTACTTGTATAATCACATAATTTCTCCAGATTCTTCAAAACCATTTACTCCTGTTGGACTTTCTCAGAATATGTCACCTCACAATTTTTTGATCCCCACAACTACTCTCTTATTATTATTATTATTATTATTATTATTATTATTATTATTATTTAACACCAGCCGTCTCCCACAGAGATAGGGTAACCCAAAAAAGAAGAAATTCTTTCACCATCACTCACTCTTGCCAGAGGCCTGCCGACATTACAGCTCAGACGCCCTTCCAAACTTTTATATCCTCAACCCCTCCTTCAGAGTACAAGCACTGTGCTTCCCACCTCCAGGACTCAAGTCCGGCTAACCGGACTTTATAATTTAGCCTGAGAGCCTATGCTACTTGGATGTGGGATTTTGAAAAGGTCTCTGTTTAAATCTCGCAAGAATCAAAAGTACCCACCCGTCCACAGTCGAGCGGCAGAACCAGTTCGATTCCGGAGGCCACAAGAGCCTTCTTGACGCGTTCCAAGAATATCTGGTCCGTGGCGCTGGACGTTGCATCTGTCATGTCGGAGGACGAGGTAACTGTATTTACTATAACAGCACCTGGTATAGTCTTTGTTATCATGGTGGTGTCAGACACTGTGGTTTTGGATACTCTGGTGGTGTCGGACACCGTGGTCCTTGTCACCTTGGCGGACATTGTGGGAGTGATAGTAGCGTCATTTACGGCAGTGGACACAATGGAGACATCAGCCATGGTAGCGGGCGTGGTGGCAGTGCCTGGTTTCCATGCGGTGGGCATCATGGACTCTGTGATTTCATTAGCGAGCTCCAGAAGTTGGTTCATGAGAGGGTCGTGGGCAGCTTGCGTCCCCTCCTGCGTCATCAGCCTCATCATGTCCTTGATCCTCTGGCCCACCGTCACAAGAAAGAAAACAAAGTGAGTCTAAAGATTCCTTCCAAACTCTTGGAATTACGCAAGAATTAACGAATATTATTCTTTTTAAATATAGTTTATTTCTTACATTTCAAATATATAATCTGTATTATGATTAAAAAATACAGATTACTGTATTTGTAAAATAGTTTATTGCATGGATTAAACCTAGTTATATCACTGTTGATAATCCGTGTGTATGATTGTTCGATTTTTACACTGAAACCTTAAGAGGAATTTGTTTCTTAAAAAAAAAAACTGACTGTTTTCTGAGGAATATTTTGCTGAGCTCAGAGCAGTGTAAGGTTTCTCTTTATTCACTCATCCACGTACAATACGTCAGTATGTGTGTGTGTAGGTCTGCGTGTACGTCAATGTATGTGTACTTCAGTGTGTGTGTGTATGTCAGTGTATGTATATGCATGTCGGTGTAAATGTGTATTGTGTTAGTGTAGCCATCTGATGATGCTTTATTAATGTTTATAATATGTATTTTATGTGGTGCTGTGATTTAACAGGCAGACATTAAATGTAGTAAAGTTGCTACAATGATTAAAGCACATTTTTCATCTCTCTGGAAGCACAGTGAGAGGGGTGGAGAGGACAAGACTCTCACCTTCATAGTCTTGACCATGGGCGCAGGCCGCAGGAGAGAGTGGAGGTGGCGGCGCTGACGCAGTAGTAGAGGACCGTGTGTTGTCGTCACTACCACCTGCAGGAGGGAGGCAGGTGAGCAACCTGACCACTCATCAGAGGGGAAAACATAAAATAATTCATGTTTAAGCTCTAATACCATGGAGGCTTGATCCTCCATGTGCTAGACACAAACACTCCCTATTTGCACTCGCCTAGTTGTCCTTACCAGAGGGAGAGACTTCGCTTAAAGGCCGAGTGTTCCTACAAGACAATGCACTGTATGTGGTCGCTACATGAGATAAGAAGGAAGCTTAGCCCTCATATGACCTCAATGATGAACATATTTGCGTTTTAGGAGACAGGGACAGTTATACACTTCATCAGCGTTCTGTTCACAGAATACACGTCTTATTATTTGTTATGGCATCGGTTTTACTAACACTGGGTGTGAGACCAGCACTTCGTTTAGTAAAACCCGGGGTTAAAACGAGTCATTATATTAATGGTATACAGTGCTGACAAACAGACGAATAAGACATGCCAAGGATTGAACCCACTCAAAATTTCTCCTCTACTTTTATCAAGGTCGAGGAACTCAACACCTCAAACTCCCTTCTTCAGCTATCTCCAGTGTATTAATCTTCTTTGCATTCGACTGCAAAAGTGTTTTGCGTAGGCGAAACGTTTCCCAGTTTTGCATGTGTCTTAAAATGTATAAACCACACCTTTGTAAAACAGAGTACAAATGAAGCGGAGGTGTACTCTGGATTAGTTTCAACGATATTACAAATTAACGCTGAACTTCTAAGGGAGACTGAAAGTCTGCACCATTGGTTTACCAGTTCATACACAGCTGGGAGATAAAACGCATGAAGGAAATTACTGCAGAGTAGGGTGATGTTTTGAGAGGTGTACAGGGGCGATGAGAAACGTACAATGAGTTGTAAATGAGAGATGATTGTTGCGTAGGGGGTTCACAGGAGATTACAGGGATTAATAATGGTGATGGGGAAAATGATAGAGGAATATAGGGAAGAGAGGGGTTATATGTTATAGAGAAGGAATTAAAGCTCAGTAGATTATATCGGTAATGCTGTGAGTATTAATAAATTTATCTGGTAAGTTAAAAGGCATTGAGAGCTTTTGTAAAACTTGAGCTGTGGCAACCTTGAGACTTAGCACTCTTAGGCCGAATACGCTGATGTCCGAAATGTGCACGTATTAAATATCAAATACTCGTATTCTGGTATACCTTCAAAAAGATGTGAAAATAACTTAAATAAGATTTACCATGTGGGGGGCAGTGGTGACACGAGTGATAGTGGTGGTGACGAAGCTGGTGGTGGTGGTGATGGTGACGGTGGTGAAGGGACTGGTAGGGGTAGTGATGGTGGTGGCAGTAGAAGGTACTGGATGGATCATTCCTGCAACAGAACACACTTGAGAGCACTAGTCATCAGTACAAACCCACTATCAGTAAGATCAGGTGCCATAAAGTACAATGGTAACCTCATGATGAGCTCTGACAGCACCATGAATTATGACAGTGTGCCATGAAGAGATTACGACACCAGCATGATGAGTTAGGACAGTATAACACGACGTAATGACAGTGCATCAACACACATCTCATCAATGGCTCCATCGCCAGGCACCAGAACACTCAGTGATTATTATTATTGTTATATTCACGGGGAAGCGATTAAACCCTTAAAGGTCATACAGGGCTGTGAAACAGGAAGTAAGCAGGTTCGATTAAAGGAAGGGGAGTGTAGCTCCGGTTCCTCGGTTCAAGAGCTCTTCACTGACATCAGGACCCACCCCGCTTGAAGAGACCACCGCGAGTGATGGGGAACCTACCGTTGTATTGATGGAAAGCACTGACCAGTGCCTGGAGGTTCACCACCGCCACCATCACCACCATCATCACCATCTCCTCTTCATATAACGCGGGTCTGGAAGGCCTCAGACCGGAGCTCCTGGTTCATTTACCTACACACACCATGGGGAGTAAGTGCTTACCTAACACACCAGTGGTGAGTCAATGCTTACCATACCCGTGGTGGAGGTCAGTGCTTACATCCACACCGGGTGGTGGAGTCAAGTGCTCTACCATACACACACCAGTGGTAGAGTCAAGTGCTCTACCATACACACCAGTGGTGGAGAGTCTAGTGCTGTACCACACACCAGTGGTGGAGTCAAGTGCTCTACCACACACACACCAGTGGTGGAGTCAAGTGCTCTACCATACACACACCAGTGGTGGAGTCAAGTGCTCTACCATACACATCAGTGGTGGAGAGTCAAGTGCTCTACCATACACACACCAGTGGTGGAGTCAAGTGCTCTACCATACACACACCAGTGGTAGAGTCAAGTGCTCTACCACACACACCAGTGGTGGAGTCAAGTGCTCTACCATACACACACCAGTGGTGGAGTCAAGTGCTCTACCATACACACACCAGTGGTAGAGTCAAGTGCTCTACCACACACACCAGTGGTGGAGTCAAGTGCTCTACCACACACACCAGTGGTGGAGTCAAGTGCTCTACCACACACAATGTGACCGTGAGTCTATATAAACACCGACACACCTTTCAAGATGTTCTTATAAACCATTCAGTGGTAATATACAATTAAAAGCAGCGTCAGATTATTTTCCCTGACAAATTAACAACCCTAACAATGTTACGTAACGTTTTATGGATTACCATGCAAGAAATTTTAGTAACTAAAAGTATGATTCATCCAGTAGACGTCTCGCTTAAGTTCAGCAGCACTTCTCTAACAAACTCAAAAGTAACACCTGCAATCAACTGACGAAGAATCGAGCCTCCACTCCTTGCGCTGCACGAGTAGTGGCTACAGACCAGAGATTACAGCCTTAATAATCCTGTCAGTCGAGAAATCTTCAACGTACACACAGGCAGAAAACCGGGAGTTCTAGCGAGCATCAGAGGAGATGAATCACCTCCTCCCTGTTACTTGCCACAGCAGTGACTGACTGGCTGATGCCAATCTCATAGTCACTACACACATTCGTACCAGTTGCCAAATCATCCTCTTCTGCACCTTAAACTTTCCTGCGAGGGATCTTCCTGGACTTACTGCTTGACAGAACATAACACAGAGTGCAGCCAAGAGGACGATGCTCTCGTCCAGGACCACTCGAGTATTTCTTATGGTTAGATATTTTTTTTATCTCGTATAATAAGTATCTTCCTATACATTCTCGTTCTGGTTATGATGATGCATAAAAATGTGACTTATCATGATGGATAAAAATGTTGGGTAACCGGCCCCACGCAAGCTACATTAACTGCTACGGAAGCGGAGGTTCATATAAGTTGAGGCTACATATTACAGGTATTATAGAAAAATGCATATGTTAATTATACTAGATAATCTTTTTAATTGTCATTGACAAAATTATTGAAAAGGCAGAAAATATGACTTCAGAGGATCATATTGGATACAGAAGGGAAAACAGGTGCATAGATTACGTTTTTGCATTGAGACACGTAAGTGAGAAGTGTATAAATAAAGGAAAGGTGGTGTATGTTTCTCAGTGTGTTTATGCCGAGAGTTTAATCCCAACTTTAGAAATTAAAGTATTCTTGATTGGTGGTGAAGACGTGGCATGCAGCCTTCATGGCACTCGCGTAGTAGATAGGCTTTAAATCATGTTAACCAAGCAACCACTTGTTCCAGATAAACAACGAAAACAAAATGTATCTGGGAGTTTGTCACTAATAAAACATTTGAATAAGAACTGCATTTGTTATAAATATTTCAAGAGTCGGAGTCAACAGGACCTATATTAAAGAAACAAAAAAATCTACCTCATCATATACGATTCACATAAGCTAAAAAGGTACATTCTTCGGGGAGTGTGTCAAGGTTACAACACCATTTCTCCGACGTCGTTGACGGTAGCACTGAGTAAAAGTTGAGATAGTGAGGTGTGGATGGCTGCCTCGCTACTAGGAAGTGGTCCGCTGTTCGTGTGTGATTAGTCAAGGAACGAGAAACATGCGAAGGGATCTGTCTCGCCCATTTCTAATTATTTGTAGTTACTTGTTCTAAGTTTCCTATTTTCAATTGCCTAGTTTAAGTTACCTATATTTTTAGTTACCTATTTGTATTACCTATTTGAAAATCAATACACATGCGTGACAAACTCTTCTCTGTGGCACAAATGAACCCACACGCAGACAACTACGTGTGTTTTTGGTCACTGCGCGATCCGAGAAAGGTATCCCGGTATCGCATAATCCCAGACCCCTCTACTTTAAGCCAAGTGAAAGGAATAGTGCAGGGTGCGGCATAAGTCTCTTGTGCAGTTAAATATCAATAGTGAAGATTTAGAGCCAGACGAAAGAATCATTTAAAAGTTAATGCATGGAAACTAGTATCTCAATTTTTCGACACAAAGGACAAAACCGATTCGAATCTTCCACTTTGAAAGTCTAAAACCAATAAGAAGAGACATTTTCTAGTCAACCCAATTCGTTAAATAAAACCGGCAAGACTTACACAGTCCAATAGCAATACACATTCGTCTCTCGACCACTGGGAAGAGAGGACGCTTCTTGAGTCTCCCTACACGCCACCTGGTGGTGACTGCTGGACTAAGACACCAACATGGCGGATCGTATCAACAGGAGAGTGAATACTGTCTGTATTGAATTAGTACGAGGAACGTTAAGCAGTGCGACGATGCATGTACTGTTATCGGCCATCATTAGAGACGTCTACGGGATATCGAACGATGAATTGTATGGTGTGGCCCTAAATGGAATGTCAAGGGTTTTTGTGAAGTTTACAAGAGCCGGCTTTTACTCCAGGATTGTGGATGAATTCCAGGAAAGGAGGATGAGTGTTAATTCAGCAGTAGAGGTGTGTCTACATGATGTTTCGAAATATTACACATGGGTAAAGGTGCGTAATGTACCATTTGAGGCAACGTCGTATGGCATTCAGAAGCCTTCAGCGATTATGGAACTGTTCATACGGCTAATATGGGGGTGTGTGAGGACGGGCCGTTTGAAGGGCTGCCCGAGGGGTCCTGCACCCTGAGATGTCATTGAGGCGGCCAATACCCTCGTATGTAACGCTGACAAACTATAGGACCCAGGTATTTGTCCACTATGCGGGGCAGAGGAAAACTTGCCGATTATGTGATTCTTATGAGCACATGGCGGCGCAGTGTCCTCGCAGGCAAGCCCCTAGGATGGCGTTATCGTGGATGGTGGATCAGCAACCGTGCACTGTGGATGTGGAGTTGGGGGTAGCAGATGGACAGAAGACGAATCTCTGGAGTGAGGAGGTGGACAAGGTGGAAGAGGTGATGGGGACGTGTGTTACCCTCCCGGAGGTGACAGGGGAGAGCCCCCCATCGCCTGAGGGAAGGGTGGACGTGGAGGAGTCTACCCAGGAGAGGATGTTGGAAAGCAGTTGCTGCAGGAGTTCTTGGATGAGCCGGTGGACGGGGAGGACGGACCCGAGAAGTTAAGTGAGGTGCAGCTGATGGATAAGCAGCAGGGACAGGTCGAGGATTTGAGGAATGACAGAGTGGACACGGAAGTGGTGGTGGAAGTCCATCAGGAGGACTCGCATGAGGTAGATATGTGTGTTGAGTGAGAGCTCACGCAAACGGACGGCGGGTGCTTGGACGTTGATGAGGTTTTAACACCTGGGCAGAGACCTGGGAAGAAGTCATGGTAGATGTGGGGGAGAAGGCACCCAGGGGAGGGGGTGGCCGGGGAGCTCGTGGGGGAGGGCAAGGGGGGGTTGGTGGACAGGTTAGGAAACATGATAAAAAATGGTATGGGTACCATGAAAGGCGAATTGAGTAAGCCACAGCGGCATAGAGGTAAGCCGCCTTTTCTGGAAGTTCAAGTGTGTCACAATAAATGTAAATGGTCTTAAATCTGAGGTCAAAAGGGTTTGGTTAGAATGGTTTTACGAAGGTTTGATGTAGATGTATGTTTTTTGCAGGAGCATAACATAGGTTAGGGTGTGAATTGCGTTTGCGGGGTTTATAACCTATTTGTCAGTAATGCTTTACAATTAAAAGGAGGGGTGGCAGTGTCTGTAAAGGAGACCAGCCCATTGCGTGTCATGGGTTGGGAGGAGGGGGAGGGGGAGGGTCGTGAGGGTAGATGGGCACTGGGGGGTGGGGAGAGTATGTTTCATTGGAGTTTATATGCCGGCATGCAACAATGTTAGAGTGAAAGTTGATTTTGTTCGTGATGTTTTGATGTATTATTTGCGGGGTCTACCTTCCATAACTGTTCTTGGGGTGACTGGAACTGTGTGATTAGGTATGGGGATGTCTCACCGAGGGGGGCGGGATGTGTCTTGGGTGCGCTAAGGGATGTGTTAAGGGATGTAGGAGTTGTCGATGTGGTGGGGAGGGGGGAGTATGGGGTGGAGCACACGTTCAGGCGTGGAAATTATGAGGCGAGGTTAGATAGGATATATGTAATGAAGGGGATAGGTGTGGAGAGGGTGAGAGACTTTCGATGTCGGTTTTTCGGATCATAGGGCGGTGATAGCTGATCTGCGGGTGGATGGTATAGTACGTAATATGCTGGGTATTGGAAATTGAATGTGAGGCTACTGCAGGAGGGGGATGTTGGCTCTTCCTTTGAGGAATGGTGGACACATTTCTGGGATGGCAGGGATGGTGAGATGGATTTGCTTGACTGGTGGGAGGTGAGGGCTAAGATAGGAATTGCAGAGTTTTTCAGGGCACGTGGTAGGGAACAGGCACGGTGGCGGTATGGTTTGCAAAACTATCTGGAGGGACAACTGAATGCGTTTTGCGACGGGGGGGGTAGGGAAGGTATGAGAGGGGATGTGGATGGTTTAAGGTGTAGGATTGCAGAGTTACATAATGACAGGTTTAACGCAATTAGAGTTAGAGCGGGGTTAGAGGAGGGTGTTAAAGGTTGATCAACCGTCAGTTAC